AGAGGGACTGGGCCATCTGGGAGGATTTAGAGTCAGTGGGGAAAAGAGATGACTCTGCTCTGAGCACGGAATTGGAATAGTTATGACCTAAGGCCCCTTCCAACTGAAATTATTCCAGCTTGCTTCGTTCCATGCTAACAGGATCAGATGTCAGGCCCTTCCTTTTTGAGGATAGAGTTGTTCTTTGGAAACTAGCAGCATTGTGACTGAAAAAAAATGCATCTGCTGTGATGGAGATGCTGGAAAGCAGATTGGTGTACTGAGAGGAGGAGTTTGCTGTGTAAAAAAAAGTTCTGTACTTGATTTGGGTTCTCAGGGTTTAAGAAGGCTCTTTTTGCAGTTGAGCATTTTGACAGTTTTCTTTTCAAGTTTACATTTAGTCTTTAATGGTTGCTGTAATTTTACTTTTAAACAGCTCAGTTCTTCAAAGGCAGCAGTGAAAGAGCATCAGCTGAGTTCTGTCTGGTGATCGTGAGGGGTTCTCAGTGGCTCGTTTCTTCAGCTGTCATTTGTCAGAACACACTCATGTAATCTTAATGAACAATGTGCAAAGCCATTAAAAACTCAATTACGGCTTTCTTTTTACTGCAGACGTGAGAAAATGCAATCATAAAGTGCTGATGTGTAAACACAATAGCCACCATCTGCTACAGAGCAGCATTTCAGTTCAAAAAGAGGGTATATGTTGCAGATGCATCAATAATAGGAAGCTTATCAAGGCATCATTATGCACCGAGCAGGGGAAAAATTGAAATTTATGGCCAGCTAGAGAGCACTTCATGGTTTAATTCCCCAATTTTCAGTGGTATGTTTAATAACTGTAAGAGAGTGCCTTTTTATGTTCACTGTCATTCGAATGGATTTTTAAAAATGAATTTATTTACCATCTTTCTTTTCTCCGTGCTTTTGACTGATCTGAACACAGCACATTCAGTTTTAGTTATTCAGGAAGGTGGCAAAGCCAGCAAGAGATTAATTAATGTAACCTGTTGGTTCAAGAGCACTAAAGTTAATTGACCTGATATTCAGCTGCATTAATGAGCATATACTTCTGTGTCCAACAAAAATAGAAATACCCAACAGCATCCACACAGAATACATCACTTCTTCTCTCCACACTTTCTTTTCCCATTGCAGTGTCTATCTGATGGCATTTGAACTTTCCAGATGGAGGTAAACAAAATAGCACTCAGTGTTTTTTCTACTGTCATTACTGCTCAAAGTCAATCTAAATCAGAGTTTCTTCAAGGAATCTTTTGTTTTATACAAATTCATGCCAGGGGAAATTTAAGTAGGTTTTCAGTCGTTCATTGATCAATAATTTCCGTTTGTGACATGTTAATGCATTCCCTAGGGCTTTATATGAGTGAGAAATGTGACAAATGGTTTGCTGGTGCCAGACCTGATTGTACCTCTTTTATTTGCACGTACAGGCCTATAAATTCAAAAGAAGTCCCATCAGCTTCAATTCTTTGCTCATGCTAAAGAAGGCCGTCAGACTCTGAATCGCGATGTGTCAGTTTTTATTACGGCTAATAAGGCAAAATACGCCTGTCCTTAAAAGGCTGCTTTGAACTTTATGTATTTATTTATTTATTGCTGCTGGGAGCAGTTGTAGTGATCTCAGAGCTACTGGTAAGCAATGTGTACTGCGCAGAAAAGCTTCACTGGCACAGACACAGAGTCAGTGCATCCCAGCTGTTGGTCCAGGAGCACACAGAGCAACCTTTGGAAGGTTCTTGAGGGTAGGGGATGGGATTTGCATTCGAGTTCACAGTGCAAAAAGGAAAATGAGAATCATGGAGGGCAATGTGTGGTACAGGGTATAAATGATTCACAACAATGAGATTTTGTGAGATAGATGTTCTTGTACCCACTATCAGTTATGGCATGGGTGAAGCTTTAGTTTAACAATATCCCCTCCTAAGGGCAGGCTTGGTGTGCTGTGCACCAGCTTGACCCGGGACGAAAAGGGCTTTTTGTGGCACCTGCCATCTGAGGTCTCTGTGGAAGTAAGGGCAGACAGAGATACCAGATGGCACAGTCAAGGATAGGAGCACTTTTCTGCAGCAGAGGCAGCACTCGAAGTGGAAATTTTTTATCTCTACTCTTACTATCATGTAAAGCAATACCTCTCCTAAGGACTTTACTGGAGACAGTTTGAATTTTACAGCATTTTCTCTAGGCATGATGTGGGGTGTGGCTATGTGGTTTTAAGGCATCCATAAATCAGAACTAAGACAGTGAATAATTTGCAGATGGCAATAAATTTTTTGTAAGGCTATTCTTCCAGTTACGAAGGCTAATTATTTTGTAAGTGTTTTTTGGTCGATGGATATTTTACTGGCTCACGTTGTGTCAGTCATTATGTACAGGCTCTGTACTCTCTCTAGCAGTTGCACAAAAGGCCATTGTCGTTCTGCAAATAGCATATGATTCATTTTTTTGTGGGTGTCAAAAAATAAAATCGTAATTATTGCTTTGAACTTTTTTATAAAAGTTGATGTTTTTCTCCCAGAGGAATGCTCATTATTTTTATACATGAATCTGGAGAAGTGAAATCCTCCTTAAGTCTATCTATCATTGAAAGCTTGCCTAATGTACTGCAGTTCAGGACCTAATTGTGTTAGGCATTGTGCAGCTTCAGAGTCGATCTTTAGGGCAGGGATCCATCTATTATCCAAATACAGAAGTGTGAAAGGTTGAGGAAGGCACGCAGAAGTGGAATGATGTGTGCTAAGAGCTGATAAAAAATAGAACAGAAATGAATGATCTCTACTTTCCTTTACTGAATGTTTTCTTTGGCTGTACCATCACCCCTGTATCTCACATCTGGCAAAATTGCCTTCATCAGATTTTGTACTGTTTCCCAAAATGTCACTGAAACACTGCAGGCAGTGCATTTTGCAGCAGCTAAAACAACAACAACAAAACCCTTCTGTTATTCAGCAGTTATACAGTGGCTTCTGTCTCTGATTCTTAGTAGTAGATTTTACTAGTGTTCTTATTTGATTTATACGGGAAGATAAGGCAGTCTACACATACAGACAGAGGTCATAGAATTGAATGTGTTGTCAGACTTAGAAACCAGCCCTTTGGATTTCCACCTTGCTGCCTTAACCAGCAGCTGTGCTGCCTTGCCAAACCTGTTGGTAACTCTGCTTCCTGGTAATAAATTATCCCAGGTCATCAAGTCTGAGCCCAAATCTCAGATTGTCACAATGTTAGTTTATTTAGGGTTAGTTTATTTAGAAGATTACTGCAGCACTCATTGAAATCTCTCATTTGACGAAGGGGATTTTGTGGTTGACTGAGAGCAGGAGTGCATCAACAGAGAACATTTGTCTCACCTTACGGACTTTGATTATTAGAGAAAAAATTAAAAGTTTGGACTCAGCTCTTCTGTTTCTTGAGCTCTTTGCGGTGAATCTGGAATTTCTTGATTTGGGGCCATTGGGATTTTCAAGCTATCCAAATGAAAGATTGGATTGCCAGAAAGCACCTTGACTGTAGCATTTCTTCTTGTAAATCTTCTTCCCCAGCTCTGCTTGCACTGTGCTTGACTTTTCCAAGGTTTCTGGAGTGTGTGTGATTTCTTATGAAATATCCACTTTCTTCTGCATCCATGCCTTGAAGTCCTTTACAAAATGTATGTATATATATCACATAAACAGAAAAACAAAATAAAAAACAACAAAAAGAACAACCCACCAAAAGCAGTTGTGAGAAAGTTGCTGCTATCTGTTGACTTAAAAAAAAACCAACACAAAAAACAAACACAAACTAAAACTAAAAACTAAAATGTATGGCTGTCCGCTGGACAGAATTGATCCGAATGTTTACCTGGCTCATCTGAGTGCCTGTCAAACTGCTATGGCATGGAACTGAGGAAGTCGATAGGTTAGAAGTGAGGCAAGGCTTTTCAAACGCAATGTTCTGTGAACTGCAAGAGGCCAGTAGAGAAATACATTTGTAGCATGACTTGGCAGCTGCAGCAGGACTCTGAATGTCAAGAAGGCTGCATTTGATTAAAAATTATTATGCCTTGCTGCTGACACATAGATTTTTCCCCCTGGATCTTGGTATTTTCTTCTGCTTTTTCTGTGAACGTCTGTGCACACATAAAGCAGATCCCTTAAACAGAATTGAATCAAATAACTCTCATAACGTTTTTCCTTATTGCTAACATTTGTCACCTTGATGCATCTGTAAGGAGATGAGTTGAGACACGATGTGCTGTAAAATAACTGCTTGATGAATCAAAACACGAGTTCAACATCCAGTGCCATGGTTAATATGATGCAAGCTTCAGGGTTAACAAACTCAGAAATTGCCTTAGTATAGATTTTCCTCCTAAAATTCAGCCAGTCCTTCCCTCTTAGAAGTGTAATTGTCCTTGTTGCTGTATTGCTAGTTGAGATGTTGTTGTGCTAACAAGCCTAATTCATCCAGGTTCTGAACACCAGGTTTTCTTAACACCTTGCCACTTTCCAAAGCTTGTACCACAAGATACAGGGCTCCTGGGTATAGATTGGCACAAAGTTGGTAGGGACCATGCAGGCTAATGCCAGCTGAGAATCTGATCTTTTGTAAATAGTCTTTTGTATTCAGTGTGCCTTTGGCAAAGTAGATATCTGGGGCTGTATGTGGTAGGAGAGCCTCATGGCTGCTTGAACGGTAAATGTGATTTTTTATAGAGTGACTTTTTTATTGCAATTTTATAAAACAATAAAAGCAAAGCCGTATTTTTATTTTTAAAGTTATCTAATTAAGGTGTTATAGTGGCCATGAATCTATTTGTATTTATACCCTGTAATTTAGATCTCCTTTCTTTTCTGTTACCTAACAACTAGCATAAAATAGCTAGTTTGAGTTCTTAGGAGGAACTGTTTTGTTTCTGGCTTCTAAAGGAATCAGTGACTTTCCCAAGGAAACTGCTTTAACTGAAAGAGCTCAGCGGATGTTTTGTATTCTTTCTTTCTTCCCTTGTCTGTGTACAGGCTCCTTCATGATGGTGAACAGCTCTGGACGGGCATCTGGGCAGAAAGCTCACTTGCTTTTGCCCACGTTGAAGGAAAATGACACACACTGCATCGACTTCCATTATTACTTATCCAGCAGAGATCGCTCGAGTCCTGGCTCTCTGAATGTCTACGTGAAAGTGAATGGAGGACCACAGGGCAATCCCATATGGAATGTCTCAGGGGTTGTTACAGAAGGATGGGTGAAAGCAGAACTTGCCATCAGTACGTTCTGGCCACATTTTTATCAGGTATGAGTTTGCAAGATTGATCTCACTTTTTCCACTGAACATCTGGCTGGGTGTGAGCTGTGAGCTGCTGTCAGCATTAAGTCTTCTGAAAATTAAATACAGTGTTTTTCATCACATCTTTTTTGGTATCAAAATGAGTTTTCATGTCGCAGTTTTATAGCAAGAGATGATGGAGACATCCTGACGTAATTCTTCTCACCCTTTTTCTTCAGATGTTCTCAGGTCACAGAGAAAAAGCTGGACAGATGAAGTAATTTATTGGAAAGTTAAAACCTGTTTGAATGTCATGAAATATGCATATAAACAGACTTGGATTGGCACTTCCCATGCACACAATGGGCTCACATACTTCTTCTTAAACGGTGAAGACATGAGGACTCTTATTTTCAAATTTTTGTCTTTTTATATTCAAGGGAAAAAAAAAAAAAAAAAAGTTCCTGGGAGGTAATTGCACCCTACTCCTTACAGGAAAATGAGAAATACATATTATAGTTTAAAAAAAAAAAAAAGCATGAGTGAGATGGGAATTACAGTAAAAGAAACTATGAAAAGGCAGTGAATGCTCTATGGATAGAAAACAGTAGGAAGAAAAGCTTTTTTTTTTTTTAATAACTGGGTAGTAGGTCTATAGAATCTGGGCTAAAGTAGAGCACTTTAATGTTCTGCTTCCGAAAAGGAGCAGAGGATTTCAGCAGAATAGATAAGAGCGCACTGTACAGGGTGAATGGGATGAAGAGACACAAATGCACTGAAAGTGGTGTTTTAAGGGCTGTGCACAACTTGTCACTTGCTCTGAAATCATATTAAAGTGATCAATACTACTTTCATATTAACATCAACCAGAATCTGCTTGGTAGTAGGTGCTGTACAGAGATAACAGAAATGATCTTTCACCCAGATAATCAGTGCTTGAAAAACCTGGAAAAGACAGTCTGATCTCAAACTAAGAGATCCAACTGTTAGATATACCAATACCAGACTTCCTGAACCTTATTACATCTTTTGCAAGTCTTTTGAGAGGTCAGGTTTGCTTTTCCTGAGAAAGAAAATCCTTTAAATCAAAGAAGAATTTTGCACTGCCGAGCAAAAACGAAGAGCCTACAGGCAGCAGTGACTGCTTGGGAGTGGTTCCTGCCCACAAAATGCAAACACTCTCTCTCCTTTTCTCTCCATCTCCTCAGCCTTACCTTTTTGATGGATGAGGTTCCAGTTTCCTTCTTTTAACGTATGGCTTTTAAAATGTGAGGGTCTTTCCCACAGGTTGTGGGGGATCTGATAGGCTGTTCTGTCATTGATCCCTAATTTTGTACCTCAGTTGCTGCAATTTGGTGGCTCTCTACGTTTAAGTCTAAACAAGAAAAAGAAATAATACAAAAGAAAGAAAACTTTAAGCTCTCAAAAGTGAAGAGGAGATACAATCACAGAGTTTTATCAAAATTATTGTTCTTTGACGTCGTAACCCTTGTGGCTAAAGGAGTCCAGAGGTGGCAGGGTGATAAAAGCTTGTGTGTACCAATGCCTAGGGAATGTCTCCTTTTACACTCACAGTCTAGATTATGCTGTAAGAGTGTTATTTGTCAGCTTTAAATCAAAACTGCACGCTCGGAGAACAATTTGTGCCCAAGAGGCCTGAAAGCATGTTCCGTATTTCAAAAGCACAAGGTAACGCAGGAAAAAAAACAAAAAAAAAGTATTTCTCCTAAATAATGAAATCAGTGTCAGGCAAAATGTGGATTATTCTCTTAATGCACGACAATCGCACCATCAGGAATTGCTGTGTGCATTGAAAATTCTGTCAGGCATAAAAGTCTGAAGCCATTTGCCCTGGGTGGGAGGTTTTGACAAGTAGTTGGAGCTTTGGAGATGGGAGTAGCGGCAAACCAGTGCCAGGCCTATTGCCAGAGGGTCGTGGTTTGGGTCTGGCAGTTCTGCACAAGGGTTGTATGAGTCACCCACATCCAGAAGCACCCTGCTGAGGTATTCACATGAGGGCAGTGGAGGTGTTTCAGCTCTGCCCATGAGTTAGTCGTGCCTTGATTCCCAGTCTGCGTGCGTTTTTAGCGTAGTGAGTAAAAGCTGTAATAGCTCTTGGAGAAAGGTAAGACGTGTTCTCTTGAGTTACTGCGTGCCATAAGGATGGACTTAGTCCCAGAATGCACCAAGAGCAGCGCTACAGTCTGCCAGGAAGGGGTGTTTTGATGTACAGCAAGAAATGGTATTGATCTATGCCTGAGGAAAGCTGTCGTGCCGCAACAGATGAGCCAGGCTACATTGCTAACACAGACCTTGCTGGTAGATAGCAACAGTGAAATGTGGGCTTGTTTATAGGTGAGGAAACACCAAGCGACTTGGTAGTTGCGATTCTCAGGAGCATTTAAGGATGTTGAAGAGCAAAGCTTTGCATTTGCCAGTTACATTAATTTCTGAGAACTTCCAAAAACGTAAAGTATTGAACGCCTGTTCCTCAACCATTTCATTACATTTTCAACTGAAGTTAAAAGGACGTAAAAGAAATTCAGTGTGAGATTTGCCAAAATGTGCCACCTATAAGCATGGGTTTCTGCCTGTTCCTCACTGCTGGATCTCAGTTCCCTGTATTTAGAAAACCCAGGTGCTTCTGCTCTGCTCACTTTGACAGGGCTGAGGTGGTGCAAAACTGCATAAAAGGGTAACAGTGTAAAGATCTGAACTGGGAAATAAAGAGATCTGAGTATAGAGTGAAACAGGTAATAAAATACCCTGTTCAAACAAAACAGAATTGATAGGGACCCCTCCACTTTTGTCAGTGATTTTGGCAACAGTGTGAATATGAAATCCATGGATTTAATCCACAGGAGCTGACACAACTGCTAGTGACTCTAGGTTTAGGTTATTTTGTGCTCTATTAAAGACATTGAGCCATGTCAGTAATTAACAGAAGACAGTTCACTATGTGTGTGTTTTTACCGCAAAGAAGTGGGCAATTTTTCTTTCCAAGTTCTTGGCTTTCAGGAAATTGATGTAGCAACTCAGCAAAGCTTATAACTTCTCACTAATGCGTAACCAAAGTAAGGTTTGGTAGCTATAAAGGGGCAGTTTAATCCTAGTCTGAAGGGAGTCACAGTAGTTGCTGTGTGACCTTACCAATAAGTGCCATTTTTATCATGAATGGCTTTTCATTTATCTTGTAATTCCAATACTAAGGACATGCATTATATTTCTTGCTTATACAGTCTCTAGAAAGTACTGAAACTCTTGAACACAGGAAACATTTGTTAATGGTTTGATCATCTTCCAGATATTTGCTTCTTCCTCTTAATCCCTTGGACAACCTATTTTTTGCCCACCTTCATCTGCTGCAGAAGTCTTTTCTTTCAGTTTCAGTTTCTTTGTATTGCTAGCACCTGAGCTTTTCTTAGTTCGTCTTTTCTCCTTTTATTTTTGTATTCTACCTGTTTTTATCATGGCGTTTTTCTAAAGGGCTTCTTTTAGGAGTGCTCCCAGTTGGAATGCTCTGAACTGAGGGAGCAGATGTTAAGATGTCATGGGAATATAAGTAGAAACTAAATTAGGAAGCCCAAATACAAAGCGAAATGATTAATGGCAACCTGATTATGAAGTACATGTTGCTTAATTTCTGTAGCCTGAGCATGTGGTGATCAGCATTCAGAAAGTTGAATCTGTTGTTGTGTTAAATCTTCTGATGGAGGAGATGAAGGAAAGTCTCAACAGTGACAGGCTAGGAATGCTGGCTTTTATTTAAAGTGGAAACAGCAGTGTTGAAGAGTGGCTTGAGATAGTTAAGAAACTTCGTGGTGTTCCAGTAATGATTTTGGTAGTCACAAATTATCCTGCAAAAAGAATGGCTGCACTTGAATGCTGCTGCTACAGTAGTAACTGTGCCCGCTGAACACATTAATCAGCTCTGTCCTGGAAAACATTGCTGCAAACTCATGCAAAAACCATAGGATCATAGAATGGATTGGAAGAGACCTTAAAGATCACCTGGTTCCAACTCCCTGCTATAGGCAGGGACACCTCCCACTAGAACAGGTTGCTCAAAGCCCCAGGTTAGAGTGTGGCTGACACATTAGTAAGAGAAAACAAAGGGGCATCTCTTTCAAATGCTGGGGACAGCATTCATTTCATTTCTGCACACAGAGTTAAGGATAGCGCTTCATTCCTTTCCTTTGAGATGAGCATCACTCACTCGAGAGCTGACATTACCATATTCAGTGTTAAATGACCAGTCTGTGTTTTTCTTTTTTCCTTTCCAACTCAACATTGTCAAATTCCCTGCTTCTTATAATTGTTGTTTGAGTAAACTTCACAATATTTAATACTATTTTTCTCCTGAATTTTATTTTGCTTATTTGGTAATAGTTAAATTAGTTTGAATTTTATCAGTCTTCTAGGGTCCCCTTGCTTGCCCCGAACTCTTTGCATGTATTTGTATTTGTACTAACAGGACACTTCAGATCAGAAGTAATTACACATATGTGTAATCAGTCTCAAATTAGTGGAACACTTTCATAAATAATACATAAATAAAATTGGATGAAGTAGTGTACCATTAACATAGAGAAATATTACATTTTTACATACTCAAAAATTCTCTTCTGGTTCAATCTAGGGAAAGGCAGAAGCAACTTTGTTATTTCTGGGAGAATATTATTTCAGTCCAGTAATTAAAATCCACATCATCTCTTGCTCATTTATTGCTTTCTGGTACTGCAGTGGCATGCATGTGAAAATGCAAAAGGTTTTCTCCAAAAGAATCCATGCAGTGTTATTGATTTAATGAAATAAAATTATCTCACAAGTGGCATTCTACAGCTTTCTGGAATAAGATGCCAAATGATTCCACATCTGATGTTCTCGGAATGGTGCAAAGTGAATACAGAGTGTGTGTAAGCATAGGGTATATCTTTGCTCTTCCAAATGGAAGTTGTACATAGTTCTCACTAATCCTAATTAATGTTGCTCTGACTTTGTTTTCTGTATCAAATAGATTTTCAGTCTTTGATATTCGTTTTCATGCTGTACTGCATAGGTACCCCTTTGTTATCAATGATAAAATGCCTTGAATGTATCAGACATTGGAAAAAGAGTGGAATATGGTGACTGGCCAAACGACTAGTGCAGTCTTTCTTTTTAAGAAAACCTTTTCTTTGTATTTCAGGTGATATTTGAATCTGTCTCTGTGAAAGGACATCCAGGGTACATAGCTGTGGATGAAGTCAGAGTTCTTGCCCATCCATGCAGTGAGCATTCTTTGTTTTTCTAACCACCTCAATGTGTTATATACTAAGCTTTGCAGTCTTCATACCAGGCTTTGCATTCTAAGGCTGTGAGTTATCCAATTCAGCCAACTCTAAAATCTCTTCTGTTTTGGCGTCCCCCAAAGCAACTAAAGACTGTCAGCCTTGTGTAATTAAATAACTTGACAATTTGTGCAAAAGGCAAAAGTGCTCTGAGGCTGACACTTGTGCCAGGATGTTTGTGGAAGTTTCTCTTTGTAGAAGTGTCACAAGAATATAACTCTATTTTGTTGTTTTGGAATTGTACTGCTGTACAAAAAGGAGAAGATCTAAATGTTTCTGATAACGTCCTGTGAGGTTAACTTAAGAAAAGAAGACAAATTCGTTCGATATTTCCTTGATAAAGGACATATCCCAAAGGTATCTCTCAAAAGAAATGTTAAACCCACTCAGATTCTGCATGAGTTATTTAAAAAATAAATCTCATTTAGAGTTGCACAGACACGAAAACTAATGCAGGTTCATTACATTGCTCAAAAATACTTGTTCTGTTTCTTCTACCTTAGCTGCACTATGCCCAGCTTACCTTTTTTCTGCTTAGAGACACCTTAAGCCTCTACATTTGTGTGTGGACTTCTTGGGTTTCTCTGTGCAACCACAGACAGGCTTGAGAACTTTTGTATCCCTGTATGGAGCATACAGACTTCTACAGATTTTTAACAGCTTTCATGTTCATTAATGAGTTCAGACATATCTCCTTCAAATATGTTATTTTTCTAAAAGTAATTCTGTAATAAATTTATGTATTTTAATGCTTGAATTATTAGTTGTTACGTAGCATATTAAGTTGCACTTTTGGGTGGTACTTTGGTTTATTACATTTACATCTGTTTATTATTTTGATGCTGCAGTATTTCCAGGCAGCCTGATGTCATTTTGGAAGGTAGCCCACCACCCTGCCAGGTCAGAGCTTTAACAGCTCCTTTCACTGGTTCTTAGTTTCAGTAAGCAAGCAGCAGCTCTTCACAACAAAATTCTGTGGGACGTATCAATGGGATGAGATTCACCCATTTTATTTGAAAGAACAGCAACCATTGGGTGTGAGGAACACGGCTCTGCTCAAGTTTAACAGGACATTTCTGATAACTGCAGTATGGTTAATTGCAGTTTAACTAAATTATATTTGTATTTACCATGTGCTCGCTGCTCAGGCCTTTGGGTGTATTTACTTCATTAAGAAATACTTACAATCTGTGTTGACCAGATGTTGCTGATAACTGGCAGCCTCCAAACAAATCCCCCAAACGATGTGCATGCATTCCACAGCATGTTTGGTGATGACTGATCCCTTTACTGGGAAAGAGGCCACAAAACCAACTGTGAGGCAAAGACAAGAAGGTTATAGGATCAAAAAATGTATACCAATCCCAAGCCCTACTTAGTGAAGTATTAAAACTGATGTTTAGATCTGTGTCTCCAAGTACATGCAGGTCCCTCTTTAAAATTCAGTGAGATCTTGGTGACCCAAAGCTGAAATGACTCAAACTATACCCAGTGCATTTAGAATCAGTTGGCAACCTGCAGTGTGCACAGGTCCCTATGAGCTGCAAGTTATCTGTAGTCTTATTGTAAATACTTCTGTCTGATTCTCAATGTTGTCTTTGCTGTTCAGCACTGACAGCCACCAGAGTAGATGTCAGCAGTGACATTGTACAGATTTACTTTGCCCCTTGGGTTCATTTTACAATTGTTAAAACTCAAAGCACAGGAAGAGGAAGCTTCTGATTGAGCCTGAACGTCACTCAAAATTATTGGTGTTATTTTTTAATTTCTCCCTCATCTACACAAATCGTAGTATAGCAGACAATCTTAAGTAGCAGCTGTTTTTTATTTTGTTTTTTTTTTTTTATTAATCTGGGAAAAACCCCTGATGACACAGTGATGTGAAAACACAGAGGTCTAGATAGTATTGCCTTTTTTAATCCTGTGAAGGAATGCACAGAGAATGTTTTTGCTGTGCAAAAGGCTCGCTGGCTGTGTATGCACAAGCACTTGCAGCTGTAGGACAGTGCAGTGCCCTGGAAGATGGGCAGAACTGAGCTCTGGGGTTTGGGGCTGGTGTGGCTGCATGTATCTGGGTTCTGTTTTGGAGCTCGTTCGTATCTCATGCAGGCAGAATTCACTCCTAGCACGTAGGACTCGCTGCCTCTCACCCAAAGGTGGTTTTCCAGTTGGCTTTGACACACAGTACTGACCCCCAGAAAGCACCATAGTACAGAATCACTGCACTTCAGCAGTCTGTTTGCTAGAGTTGTCAGCAAACTGGGCATGTGGACAGTGTGGCACAGGACGTAGATATAAACCTCTGACATAGCATATAGGCAGCTGTCCTCTGTTCGTATGCCTGTAGCAGACAACCATGTATTTGCTAAGCTTTCTGCACGCACATGCCTACAGCCTTCTGAAGCTATTTAATTCCAATAGAAAAATGTAGGCTACTATGTGCTCTGAAAATATGTAGTTCTTTGGCTATTTATACTCAAAAATGTAAAGATGAAGTTGAAAAATGCTGACCTTTACTGCATTGCAAGGCTGCTGTGTGTTCTACTGAGAGTATTTGGTTGGCGCACAAACTTTTTTCTGAAGCACAAGGCCCATTTTGAAGTGCCAGATTCACTACTATTTTTAAAATTACTTTCTTATAATTTTTTTGCAGAGGTAAACAAATGATACTTAGTCAAAAAGATAATCAGGAGATCTTTCTCTGCTGTCACCAAATATATTGGTGATATTAGCATTTTGATGATGCATTTAGTATTGAACTAATACTGAATTTATTGTCAGCAAAAAACAGATGTTGGTGTTGTTAACAAATGCAGCGATACAACACTTATCAGTAATATCAATATTTCATTTAATATCAATGATTTGATATCAGTGGCATTGATATTCCACAACTGCAGGAAGTATTTGATAGTCAATGAAATTAAAAGGAGAAAATTCTTTACAAGAATTTGTTTTTGCCAGTTGTGCTTGGCAGCCTCAAACATTTGATTTTATTTTGCCCTTTGTAGAACCAGAGTTTTCTAAAGAAAAAAGTGTACTCAGTTACTCTTTATAGAAGGAAATAACAAATTGTTTTGGTGTTGTGATCTAATAGTAAGTGTATGTTTTCAGGTGTGCTGGAGGTTTGTATTGGTTTGGCCTGTTCTCTATAAGATCACCTTGCTCTGCAGCGAATCGTTCAATGCTGAAGGACAGTTTTATTTTGCTAAATCACTTTGTGAGGAATAGGATGGTTTGCTAGGTACTGATATTTGTGTTGGTGTAACTGCTGCCTTGCTCTACCCTTCCTATTCTTTGCTTCTCTTGTTAGGAAAAGCACCTCATTTCTTACGGCTTCAGAATGTGGAGGTTAATGTGGGACAGAACGCGACATTCCAGTGCATTGCTGGGGGAAAGTGGTCCCAGCATGACAAACTCTGGCTCCAGGTAAAGTGATGCAATTTTTTTCGGGTAAAATAAGTAGACAGAGGACAACTGGATGGTGGGGCAAATGCTTATCATCAAAATCCTTTGAGAACTGCCTTAAATTGTTTCCAAATCAGAGTTCAAGGTGATAAAATGCAGAATTGTGCTACAGAAGATGGAAAAAGTGGGCAGTTACAGCAAAATGTCAGTTCCAAACATAGGTCTGCACACCTGTAAGGACTCGTTCATAAAATAGAACAGGTGAAATAATGCCTCCCTTCTGCTTAATTTTTGGTCTTCTTTCCTTTTGCCCCCCAAAAATATTGTTGACAAAGGCTGGGGAAAGTGTGTTGAGATGAAAACACTACGTAAGATATGTTAAACAAAAGACAAAACTTGTTTGTACTGATTTATTTCTTCCTCCTGGTTTCCTTTGGCTGCATTGATAGCGGATTGTTCCTCACTAAATGACCGAGGAGTTCATTCTCTTCGTGTCTATTTTCATCCTACTGGTTGTTCAAAGACTGTTTTAACAAGCTTAACCGATTTTCAGTTCTGGAATTAGGAATGGAGCACTTAGCAAACTGCAAGGGTGGAGCGTGGTTTCCCAGTGAAGGACAAAGTTATTACTTGTACTTTATCAAAGCTGTTATCCAAAAATTTACTTTCTAATCTGAAAGTTATTGGCCTATGTTGTACTTCTAGCATTAATAGAAATATATTTTGGCTTATTCTATATCATTTTTGAGTTCTTTCTGTGAAGGATTTCCATGGAAGGATTAGATGTGTGAGAAAACACTTCTGATCTGAAGCACTGTAAACTTTTTTCCAAGAGAAGAAAGGATTTGGGAGGAAATCATCATTCTTAGTGGCAGCCTGTTTTCCATTATTTTAAACGGAAAGATTTAATGAAAATAGCCTTGGAAATACCTCCCAAAATTGATTACTGGAAACTGGCAGAATGGCTCTGTGTTTTCCTTTGAGCCTCCTAATAAAATAGACCAACTGAGCAAGTTCAGGTGTTTATGCCGATTTCTAGTTAATTCATCGCCTGTCAGTTTTCCAGTTGGGAAAATGTTGCCTGGCATTGGTGGAGAGAGGTTTATTGAGGAGTGCTGGACAGATCAAGATATTTAAATTTTTCTGGAAACAAAGTTTTATGCCTGAAAATGACAGGTTTATAAAATCTGTTCATTTATAGCATTTCCACAGGAGTACAAAATGCATTCATTTGTAGTATTTTCATGTCTTAGCTTAGCTTCTGGATATACCCTGTACAGATATTCTGAACTGTCACTCTCCAGCCTTTTCAGTATGCATAACACATCAAATGCACAAAAACATATCAGAATTTAAGTAGATACAAAAACTTAAACAAATATATAAGAACATTTAAGCCTACTAGTTTATAAAACCCAGCGTGCTTGTAAATTTTTCATGGGCATTACTAGCTGTCTTTTTCCTGAAAAATGGTGCTTATACGAAATGTAACCTAGTGAAGGGCTGAGCAATTTGAAGAGTAACAAAGAATGAATAATTTGTATGCCTTTGTGACCTGTGTCGTTTTCATCTGTCTTCACAGCAGTGGAATGGGAGGGACACTGCACTGATGGTCACTCGAGTCGTCAACCACCGGCGTTTCTCTGCTACGGTCAGCGTTGCTGACACCTCGCAGCGCAGCATCAGCAAATACCGCTGTGTCATTCGTTCAGATGGTGGATCTGGAGTTTCCAATTATGCAGAATTAATAGTGAAAGGTAGGTTGTATTAAAACAGCAAGTTTGTTTTAGATGAACTTTTCCTCCCATGTCAACTGTGTATAAAATTTGACCCCCTGTTGGGCTTTTCTCTTTCAATTATATTAGATTCAAGTAGGAGAAATGGGTGTAAGTGACATGAATTTCAATCATTTTTTAAAACAATTATTTGAATCAAGGAATTTGTAGTATGGATCTTCTCACGGAATGTAATTTCATTGCTCGAAATGTTTTCATTTTTTTATGGAAATGGAGGACTGTTGGAGAAATGAGATCACTTTCTTCTACTGTAGTACTTTTTTACCAACTTTTTCTATCACTTAATGCTAGTACCTTTGCAGTGCCTTAAATATCCAGTGTTGTAGATATTCAGACTACACTGATTATGAAGAGAATATTCAGATTAGGTGCTAAGTGCTTTTAATTCCTGCCAAATTATCTAGTATCTTACTTGTTGGAGGAGTTAACTCATGAGTAAAATAAAATTGAGTTGCCAAGAGTGGCATATTAGTGCTATATGATTGGTAAGTAGAGGGAAGGCAGTCTTCCAGAGCAACCAATATCAGAATATGCAAAGTCGGGCATGTGCCTGACACTTTCATGTTTAACAACATGAGGAGGAGAAAAATAGAAGAGTGAGCTGTAAATATGAGTGGCTGGACGTCCAACATGAGGGACACTGATAGACTCACTGCTGAATTGCCCAGGCAGGCACCTAGCCAGAAGAGCTTGAGGAGAGTACTATTGTTATGGGAAGGCACACTCCCCTACTCCGTGCTTCTGTATAGTATGCAGGCAAAGTGAAGTGGTTCATTTGAGGTTAGCTTGATGCAGCACTGTGAAACACTGGGATTGCATGGATGAATACTTCCAGTCTGGCTAATTTTAGTGTGGATAATAGCAAATTCGTAACGCATATATACAGGCTGAAATGAAAGCAAATTGGAATTGTTTAATTCTGAAGAGATGTTTATTGAATTGCAGTAATGTACTTGGGTATACATTAAATTAGTCTGTAATTGAAGTTCTGCTCAATTGACAGTCCTGTCCCTAAACCTACTAAATCCAAGCTAATACTCTGCCTCACACGCTTTCTCCCAGTTAGCTGAACATAAAATTATGTGGGATTTTTTCAACAAAGGTCAAGGTTGAAAAAACTATCTGTATATCTTTCTCGTGTAAAGATGTGTTTGCTTCCCTTAGCCATAAGATATTTTATTACAGTAATGAGAAAGTGATTTACATTTCTTGATGTTGCATAATTTAGTAGATACGGAATGAGGAATTTTTATTTGAAATACATTTACTACTTCAGCACTTGAAATTGGAATGGCAGATACTTCTTTCAGCAAATAAATCAGTGATACTAAACACAAACCAGCCCCCTCAGTTGTCATACATGACTATGTGGACTTTACCTTTGTAGTACTGTGAAAGCATGGGAACTGCCACTGTAGAGCTGTTCGCTGTCTGTGTTGATACCTTTCTGTACCCGATTCTGTTGCATGGCTTTTATAAGTGACAGTAAATTTATTCTTCTCTTTGCAGTTCAGAATCATAATTGTAAAGCCTGAAAAACCCATCATTTCCTTCTGCACACCTTACCATCCTTTGCTGCTCCTGTGGAAATAGCTCTGTCTGTTTCTTAACTTTCACGGTTGCTCATACAGCAATTTTGTGTAGGGCAGGATTCAAAAAACCTAGAGCTTCTACATCTTGCTATCCTGGTCACATACAGATGGAATGCTTCTTGTTTGTAATTTTCTTTTAAGTAAGAGCCGCACGGCAGTTATTCGTATTCTGAAATAAATTCATATTTTGCTTGTGTAAAGAGTGTTTAGAATACTATGAAATTGGCCAGAATCTGAATGCTTACGATCAGTATTAATGATACACATCGAATGTCCTTCCAGGAAACCTGTTGCTTCATATAGAAGTGTGAATAACATTTTAAACTGTGTATGTGTTTGTATGGCAAGTTGTTTGCAGTTTATTTTCTGATCCATTTCAGGTAGTTTGAGTGCCCAAATTAATGAATGGTAGAAATTTGTAACTTATTTTCATTAACCAATTTTTTTTTTTTTGGTAGTTTTGGCTCTCCAGCAAGTCCCTTGAGCTTATCTTGTTGCTACCTGATGATTTTTGTGAGCTCTGTTCTATTCTACCACAACAGGAGTTGCAGTATGCAACAAAGCCCCTCTACAGACCTCTTAGGATATGTTCTTTTTCTCTTCAGTTTTGTCTTTGTTGATTTTTAAAGTGTTTGATTACTCAACACAGATGTAAGACAGTCTGTTCCCTAGCTGAGTGGCTTTCTGTCATCCTTTTGATATTTGGGACAGCTCATCTGTTTATCAGTCACTTTTTTCTTGAGGTTTTCAGACATGAAGCTGATACTTTCAGTGATGCCAGAGGGAGAGGTGGATTTTTTTTCCCAGAGTTGCTTGCTGTTTTTTTCTCTGATTCTTTTCTGGTGCGATGCCTGTCAAAACAACAAATAACGAGAAATAATTATGCATTAAAGCAAAATATCTGTGACCATAAACTCCATGGTCTTTCACTTCATAGAAAGCATCTTTTGGGACAGGGGATAGGAAAAAGAGTCTTGAAGCTTTTTTTTTTAATTATTATTATTTTCATTCTCAGTACATGTATAATTCTGTACCCCAGGATATTGATATGAAATGTACTCATTAAATGCATCATAATATCATTGCCATCACAGGATAATATAGCAACTATTGCCATAGTGGTACTCAGACCCCTGGGCTGGGGTACTGATAAGAAAAGTAGCACTGTTGTAGTTATCTTCTTTTGCCTGGGAGCAGCTGGAAGATCCCAGCCCAGCCTCTCACTTGTAGTCATTTAGGAGAGAAGCTCATCTATGGTCAGAAGTAAATGCCTTTTAGATTTCACAGCTAAGATATTTTTTATAGTATGCAGAAGTTTAGATAGGAATTTCTGTGCCTCACAACTATTCATCAGGCTCATCCTGGTTGCAAAAGTTGCTGAGTAGATTTGAATTCATCTGCCTCAGTAATATGCATTAATCAAGGTCCTCCAAGTTCCTTCCATGTCGTGAACAGGACAGCATCTCTTGTTGGCACTGGCAGCAGCATCAGGAAAGCTGTGATGGGGAGGGCTTTCCTCAGGCTTCATGCTCTCTACCTTTTTACACAACTGGATTTTCTGCAGTATTGATGTGTGCTGCACCATGAGAAGTTAAGCGTAGATTTGATCAGGTGTGTGCTAATGTTGCTCATTTTAATCCTGGACCACCACAGTGTGGTATGTGTGTGTATGTGAACCATTTGTGAAGGCTATGAGATTACTGAACAAAAGAAACTGGCTTTGTGGTTGTGGGGTGCCTGAAGAAGCTGCTAACATTTCTTTATTCCTTTGTAGTCAAAATGATGTAGGGAATGCAGTGCTCCATTCCCTGGTGTTTGAATCGGGCTAATAATTACTTGAACTCTTCGCTCGGTTTTAATCATCTAGTTCAGTGTTGTCCAATAGCTATTGCTTTAACTCAGTTGTAATCATTGGATGGCTGTGTGCTGAGAAAAGGGGAGATGAGATTTTGAACACTCATTCCCTCTCACTAAAAGCTTTACCTTTGCTTCCTTTTCTTTCACTCAGGCTTAATAGCTTTTTGAGGAGGGGAGAGCGATGAGGACAAAGCCGTTGCTTCCTGGAAATAGGCAGTTAGAAAGAATGATACGTGTTCTTTCAAAAGAAAATATTTCCTTCTCCTTCTGTTTAACCTCCAAAATAGAACTGGAAATGAAGCCCTTCCTTGAGAGCTGATTGATAGATGTACACAATATTATAGACTGGATCAATTTTTCAGAACTGCACAGTGCAGTATGGACTTGCAGTCATGTTGCCATGTTTGTATTCCTTGTTTTCAGTGTTTGCATTTGCCAAGGCAACTTAGGATAGGTATAAAGTTCTTAATGGAATACAAGATAAATAAACGCATTAACAAGTAAAGAAAGAATACGAAACAATCTTTTTGAAATGAAGGAGCTTGAGAAATATCCTTCTGCTTTCTGAGTGTGGTTGCCTACAGCCTCCCTGATGCATCTCAGGGACCTGATGTTGGATGCAGGGAGCAGGCAGCTCATGTGAGCTGTGGTTCTGCTGGCTGAAAGCCATGGGGCAAGCAGTCCTCATCAATCTTAGGCAGAGAGAGCTGTTACAGCTTGTAGTAGCAAGGGGGCTTCTCCCAGGTTATTATCTCCTCTCTCTCAGGACTCTAGAAACAGGTAGGTATGATTAACTTAGTAAAAGGCTTGTTTGTTTTTATTTTTGTTTCTTTAAATCTTCCCTCCCAACTTGAACTGAGAAACTGCAAGATTTCCTATGGGAAGAAGCTTTCTTGCTGCTTTTAAGTAAGATAATGTTGTGGTTGGGTGAAAGAAGTAGCTAGCAGTTGTCTTTTGTGCCCCGTCCTATATGCTCTTACCTGCCCCTACAAAAGGAAGAAGAAATCTCCAAAGAGCAAAAATAAAGGAAGAAAAAGCATCACTGGATGGTAGACTTTCTCTTCTTGCCAGACTCCCCTGGCATTCCTTGGCTTTTCCATGAACTGTTCTTGTAGACCTGTATAGGAAAGAAGATAGCTTTATTCTTCTACCTGCTGTTCTGAGAAGTGTCTCCCCACATCAGACACATGTAAAGGAGAAAGTGGGAGTCAAAGTAAGTAAATGACTTGTTTTGTCATAGCAATTTCAATCTTGATATGTTAAAGTTGCCTAAATAATTTATATAAGGTTTTGGTCTTCAGACTTTGGTGGTCCAAAAATTGATAGAAATAAAATGTTGTTTATTGGTTAGTATTCCAGTAAACATCTACTTATTAGTTTCCCATTGTAGAGAAAGCTCCCAGCAAACAGTGCAGCTGGCAGAAGAAGGGAAGCTTGCAAGAACAAATGAATGTGTTTCAGTCTACTTAGGATTACACTCCTGCTTGAAAAGTACAGACAAGGTAATTTCAT